AAGGAAGCTCTGCACTTCTTGTGAACCTAGAAGTGCTCTTTAAAAAAACAAAGGCGTTAAGTAAATTATGGTAACTATCTGATGTTTAACCTTGGTCATTTCTGCCTAAACATGCCATATGAGCATGATTTCTATTTAGAGTTGCAGCACTTTAAATGCATCTAGTAAATAAAAAGCACAAAATCGGCACAATGTAAGGAGGACCCTAAAGCGACTTCAAATAAACCCCAAGCTCTTAGGAAACTGGGCTCCACACCATGCCTGCCCTCTACAGGACCAAACCTGAAATATACCACCAATTCCACTACCTTATGAGTAAAGCTTCCAGAAAGCTCTGTAATCCAAAATCTATAAAATTCTAAAAAATTCACTCATGCAGAACTATGTGTTTTGTATTTGTGTATAATTACAGATTGATTCATACTATTCCTCTTAAACATATTGCCCTCTGGAGATGTTTTTTTATAACTGCATATTTATTTTATGAAAGTGAACATGGCCTTCACTTAGATGCATGAGTCCAGGTAAATGACCAAAGAGCAGCAGAGGAGAAATATTATACAAACAAGTGTCAACTCAAAACCCTCCACCTGAAAGTCTTCAGAATGATTTCCTACGCATTACCTCATTCTCAGCTCAGTGACAGGCCCATGAAATAAATTAAGAATCACTATAAACCCGAGTATGGATTGGGAATAAGGGAGCACTTTCACTTAACTGATCTGTGCATGCACATGAATCTTATATACAATTATGTGCCATGGATGATATATCCAAAAAAATCCCTTGAATCTTTCTCCTTCTCCACATTGCCATAGAGGCCAAGCTGTGTCTGATCCTGTTTTGGTTTTAAATGTGTACTCAAAAGTCCATGTATTGGAATTTTAATTCTTTAATACAGTAATGTTGGCCTTGGTGTGAGCCTTAGTGACTGGTGTCTGGGTCCTGGGGACAGGGCCCTCTAGAATTACTGTCTTTCTCCAGGGATTTAGTTAATATAGTTAATTCTCAAGAGACTCGATCAACTACCTCGAGAAGAACTTATAACTCAAGGCCGTCCCTGTGTCCAGACTCTTCTGCATGCGCTCCCTTGCCCATTTGCTTGAGTTCAAGCAACATGAAAGTCCTCACTAGGATCTGAGAGCATGTCATGATCATGGTCCTGGACTTCGCAGTTTCTAGAACCAGGAACCAAAATAAACCTCTCTCTTTATAAATTCCAGTCTCAGCTATTTTGTTTGAGAAACAGAAAATAAATTAGGAAAGATCTCTGTATCCTTGCCCAAGTTTTCTCTCCTCTCTAGTGTGCCCCACATTCTAGGTTTTTGTACCTTCTAAATATAGATCCTAACAGTTTCCGCCCCTGCTCAGAAATTCACCACATCTTCCCACTCTCTACTGAGTGCCTCACCAAGGGGATAGGCAAATAACTAGAACAGCCCACAGTGGGTACAGCAAATCCTCTAAAGACCCATGTTTTATCTTTAAAACATATGCACATTTTTTTTTCATTCTAATCTATAATTCACACTTATTGAATAAAAATTTTATGGTTAGAATGTTTCCATTTCTAGGAAAATGCTTTAGTAAGCTAGTCTTGTGGGTTTATAAAACCCTGGCATGTTACCTCCTCATGCACGGAGACCATGACACTCAGGTAGAACACAGGCCAGCATGTGAACTCTGTAGCATATTTAAGATATTTTACACACTAGCCCTTCTTACCAGAGAAAATCACATACTTTTTCTAATACTACAGACTAGAAAAAGGGTTGATAAAACTATTTATGGTTTGATCAATATTTTTTAACTTTAATAAACATAAGCATAAATTTCCTAATAAGTCTTTCAACCAAACCTGAAAGAAACATCAGCTGAGACAGAATTCTACGGAAACACCTAGCTGAAGGCAGTGAGCCGGGATCTTATGGAAATACCTTACTGAAGGCAGGAGCCAGGATTTCAATGGAAACACCCACTGAAAATGTGTCCTCCCTTTCATTTACAATCTCTCCTCCCTCTGTTTCCATTACCTGGGAAAAGCTTCAACCTTCTCCACCTGGGAAACTCCTATTGCTCTTTAAAACCCACCCAGCCACCCTCACCGGAAATAAATGTTTCCCAGTGCATATCTGCAGCACTTTGTCTGTAAACTATGTTAAGTTCCATCACATGTAGAAATCCTGTATTTTCATCTTACTCTTAGATCCAGCCAGAACATGTACCCTCTAGAGGTGGAAATCCTCTCTTACTCCTCTGTAAACGTTCAGAACCTAACAGGCCCACACTGGGAGCCCTATACACACATGTGGAATAAGTTGATGGTGAAAAAATCTTGCATGAATAAAACATTTGTGTGGCACCATAAGCCACCTCTGCATTCCAGAAGGCAGGACATTTATGCTGAAAAAAAGGGGGGGGGCAATAAGAAGGTGGGAACAATCAACTCTGGTCTATAGAACAGCACGTCAGAAAGAACAAAATGACCCTCTAGCACTAAATTTGTGAAGAGATTGCAGTAGCCAAGACTGCAACTTATAACCCTCATGAGAGCTGGTGTCTCTGTCCAGAGTGCTGAGATTTCAGCAAAAAAGACCTGGCTCTGTTTCAAAACCCAGCAGAGCCAAGCAGGATTAGAATACAAATATTTGCATATTTCCTTATCCCTGAAGAAACCTCTTACCCACCCAGAAGCTTAGGATAGCCACATTCAATCAGCTACAAATTCAACCAGTTCTTCCAGTTTAAGTAGATTAAGCTGACTCTGCTTTGCAAAAATAAGTTACCAAGTCAAAAAGCAGCAGCTTATGATAGGCAAAGGGCATGTACACTCACTGCATGGAGGTTTTCCTCAACCGATTGCCTGTAATCTTTGGGCATCTTAGGCAGGTGACCACACCTTTCTAGGAATGGACTTTGTGACCTCTAAGGAGAGTCACTACATAATTAAGATGGAACAAGCCTTCAGCAAATTGTCAGCATGTGGCAAGAACTTCTCTTTTTCTACTCCTCTCAAAACCGGTGAAGTGGATATGATTGTTCTCATTTTACACATGAGAAAGCAGGGCTGTGAAAAGTTAAGTAGCTTTCCCAAGGCCACTCCACAAACATGCAGCATTACCTAGTGGGGAGATCAATGTGTTCAGCTAGATCTGAGGTCAATGTGAGACCAAGACTTTCTCAAATCTTACCCTTCCCTTGACCCCTGCTCCTGACCCTCTTCACAAGTGTTTTTCTAACATACATGGCAAGGACATAAAGGTCTATGGTTTGCTGTTTTTAATATTTTTTTACAGTTTTCAACATAACTAATTTTTCCAACCCACAATCCTAGCTTACACCTTAACTTCTCCTAAGAGTTAGCAAGCCTTATTACCATATTAACCAGATTCCTTAGGAGTCCTTTTCAATAGCCTTAGAGAGCCTGCTCTTACTTCTTCACACAAGCTCTGAAGCTGAGTCACCCCCTCTACCATAAAGCTTACTACCCAGCCAGAGGCTGCTGTGGAGCACACAATGAGACAAGCTGGCCAAAGCAGACCCAAAGCAAGCAAGGACAGAAGAAGCCACCTTACTCTTAAGGGACATGTTAGCCTAGCTACCTGACCCTTCCCTGTGTACTTTTTTGCATGAAAATAACTATAACCGTGTGTCTGGCTTTGAGGAATCTTGAAGTTATTTCTATGTTCTTTAGCTCAGCACAGTGATTAGTGCTGTATGTAAGTGTCCATTTTGTTAGCAGGGAAGCCAAAGCTCCAGGCGTTTATGAAACTTCCCCAAGCCAACCATCCAGAGACCAGCAAAGCCAGAAGCAACAAGAACAACTTCTTTGTTATTTCACTGAACTGTTCTACCCCATCCCAAATGCCCAGGAGTCTTTGCACCTCCTTTACCTCACAGCCTTCCACCTCCACCTCTCTCTGATCTATGTTCTACTCTGTGACAGAATCTCTTCATTGGCTGTCACTCTGACTCAAAACCAACAAAATTTCTTTTTCTTCCTTTCCTGTAGTCTGTGCTCTGTAAACTTGGAAAACAATTGTCCAAGTGACAGCAGCTGTCTTCTATATCTCTCATGATAAATCCTCCACATTGCACACAAACACTTAATAAACCAGGAATCTGTCATGGGAAGAAATGCAAATTTAAGGGGTATAGTATGAGGACAGGAGCCGTTCATCATGAAAGCTAACTAGATTAAAAGGAACAGCGCAGGAGTGAAGGTAAGAGTGGGAAGTATCACCTGCCCTACCACTTTACCTAAATTCCTTTGGCAGCTTTCTGCACCTCCTACCTGAGTTGTGGTTATTCTGGTACCTCTTTCCTCCCATGGTTTTACCTCCTGATGAACACAAACACCCTTTTGCTCCACCCTTACCCATCACAATCCTTGTATAGAACAGACACTGGAACACTTTCTAAGTATTGACACTGTTGGAAGACTTCACCTATGAAAAATCGTAAAAGTGGCCCAGAAGAAAAAGAAAAGAAAAGAAACAAACAAAAGCTGACACAGATACTGCAGGGACATTTCGCCTAAATACCTTTGCTTGTCCAGGGGGCTGCTATCAGCTGCAGGGAATCCTCCAAGAAGGATCTCCAGCGCCTGTCCTCTCCACAAAATAGAAACAATGTCCGTCACCCTCATGGAAGGGTTCTAACATCTACAGTTGGCCTTCTACCCAGACAGCTTGGCAGCCAAAAAGCCAGAACCCCACCAAGCTACTACGCAGTCACTAAGGAGAAAGAAAAGCCTGTAAGTGGCTAAACTATTCCGGGAGCAGGACGGCATTAGTTTTCTCTCTAAAGGAGACTCAAAGTGAAAAACGAAGCCTGTTCCTGCTACTGACTCCCTGCTCGGGACACTTTGGCTGGGAGTTTCTGGCTGGGAGAAAGGCGCGACCCAAGTACCCCACGCACAGGTGGCTGGGGGTCCTGCCCGAAGCGCCGCCTCGTCCGGGACAGGAAGGTGTGCGGCCCGAGCGCCGCGCCAGACTCACCACATCCATGATCTGCAGGAGGCTCAGAGAGAAGTACACCGTGAGCGGCTGCGAATCGTTGGCCACCGGCCTCTCCAGCGGGTTGTAGTTCTTGACCAGCTCCTTGTACAGCCTCCTCTGGAACTCGCCTTGCAGGGACACTTGGGAAGCAGAGCGCCCAGCGGGCCTCAGCGCGCGGCCGCCACCCAGCCCCAGAGCAGCCCAGCCCCGCCGCCCGGCCGCAACCCTGGACCACCCGCCCGCCCGTGCCTGCTCCCGGGGACCCTCCGGGGGAGTACGGCCGGAGCCGCGCCGCGGTTACCGTGCAGCAGCGCGGCGGCCAGAGCCAGCCAGATGCCTCCCCGCCCGCCGCACATGTCGCTGGAGCTGCTTCCGAGCCCCGCCGCCTGCCCCGGCCGAGCTGCCGCTCCTGCCGCCTCCGCGCCTTTAAAGCGCTGCGCGCGCCCGCTGCCGCGCGCCCCTACACGTGACAGCGCGCCCCCGCCTCGCGAGCGCTCCCAGGACCGCGCAGCTCCGCGGCCACCCGGGGAACTGCATCCCTGCGCAGCTAGTCGATGGCCTCTGACCCCGTGCTACTTGCTCCTGCTAGCAACTGTGCGCTGCACTTATACCAAGAACAGTTTCCAACCCAGTCCTCCAGGACTCCCTCTGCTAGCAGCATCTATGTCACAGGTTTCGGAAGTTTCTCCAGCCAGACAAGGTAGACTAGGCAAGAAGAACCCTTTGTCTTCCCTGTGAGATCCAATGTTTTCAGTGACCAGCTGGATTTGGGCTTCTTTCTGAGGCTTTATATGGGAGAGGGAAACTAGGCGTGATGTAAGGCGCAATGGTCACAGCAGAGAGCCTGGTCTAGTCTCATTTTCTTTTAAAACAGATTCGACAAATTGAAACCTTAACTCCAATCCCTTCCTGGACTGACAAGCCAAAACTAGATTCTGGAGGCCTTTTTGATTTAAAGGACAGTACACGAACACGGAGAGGTTGCGGGAGACTAGGCACAGACACCCTGGCCAAGAGGAGTCACTCTCTTGCCTTTCTGGGAAGGGAGGAAAGTACTGCGGAGAGCCATAAAGAGTTAGGCTGTGCCACATCTGTCCCCAGAAACACAATCCAGAGAGCCCATCTTGAAGATTACCCTGCATTCCTTTAGGGGGCTCTGTCCCCTTTCTTCCCACAGACTCCATAGCATTTGAGCCATCAGTGTCACTCCTGTGGATTAAGCAGTATGGTACTAAGAAGGAGGGACAGGCTTATCAAAAAGTGACTAAGTGTGCCCGAGTAGTGAGAATGGGTAATGAGTCCAGCCACTTGGTTTGCAGGAGCAGTGCCATGCAGCACCCTTGAAATGAGTATCTTGAACCACACCCATGCTGTTTGCTGATACAAATATGAAGAGTTCCTGTAAGGTTTGACAGCTGCAGAGAAAGAAAACTGGCTGGTTTTGGAGTTGGTGCATAAAAAAAGAGGACAACTGACCAGGGCTCCCCTCAAATCAGAACCAGTATTCCACATGGGAAGGGGACAGCAGGCAGAGACATCTGGCAAACGGATGGGTGTACATCTGGCTCCTGGGTATTCCCCATCCCATTTCCAACAGCGGGAACATCACAAAGTAGGCACTTGATGGAGGAATGAGCTGTAAAGCATTAACTGCTTGGAAAATCAGAAGGAAGGAAAAAACACCAGAGAAGGGGAAGCACACAGTGGCAGCTAGAAGCTTCTGCCTGGAAAGCCATCTGCACTAGCGGTGGGATTGCAGGGCTGGCACTTCTACTCTCACTCTGTGAAGTGCCTAAGAGCCCTGGCTTAGGCATTACAGAGGGATGAGCCTGGAAAACTCACTTCCCCAGAGTGTAGCCAACTGGGACCACATTACAGAAAACAGATGGGCAGGCACATTCCAGAGCCCCAAATATAACACTAATACTGTACCCTGTAAGATCAGAAACCTAGAACACGCCCATCTTAGGGGGTGGGAGGGCAAGGGGAAACTAGTCAATACCTGTTTATGCTCTGTGCTTTGCCAGACACCTGGAGGATTTGCAATCAGTCCCTTAACTGGGTTGCTCCTCAGCTCTGAGGTATTAGCATCCCTAATACCAGTAAGTAGGGCTGTAGGTCCAGCTATCCCTCCTGTTCTCAACGAGACCCCGTTATTTTCATTTGTGAGGTGTAAAACAATCTGAGAGTGGAGCCCACTGGGATACGGAGGCTCTCTTAATCTCATTCTCAGCATAAAGAAATGGTAAATGGACTAAACAGAGAAATAATGTATTCAAGTTTATAAAGACAAAAACTGGAAACAAACCTCATACACTTCACAAGCTGATGTTGCTGCCATAGCCTAGAGAGAGGCAGATCAACAGCAGACTGGAGGATAGAAATCTAGACTTTTAAGGCAGTCATCCAGGAAACTGACCCTGAGCTTATGAGAGACAGGAAGCTGGGATGAAGAGATCTTTATAAATCCAGAGACTAAAACAAAGTCTCCTTCCATGTAAGAGACTAGAAAACCTTTACTGTGTCCCAGGGAAGAGAAGAAGCATGTTTTCTGCTAAGACTCTGGAGAGGGAAAGGGTAATCCAGTTTTACCACAGTGCACAGTAAGGCTTAGGGCAGATCCAGATGCCTAATGCCTGTTCTGTTTGTATTCAAAGATTCCTCCTCTAGTGTGTGCTGCTGAGTGGGGGCATTTTACAGCTTCCCACACAGGCTCCAAAAGAAAATCACAGTGAGTTCAAATTACAAAATGAAAAGCAAGACTGGAGAGATGGCTCAGCAATTAAGAGCACTTGCAACAAAGTTCATGTCAGAGACATGGAGGGTCCTCTCTATGCATGGTCTTTGGTTGCTATTTGGAAGAGATGAAGGGGTTGGGGGCTACAACCAGGATATAAGGTTTATAAATTGTAAAAAAAAAAAGTAATAACAATAATAGTTAAAAAGAGCACTGGCTACTGTTCAGAGGACCCACTGTCAATTCCCAGCACTCACATGTTACTTCAGAGCTGTAACTCCAGCTCCAGGGGATCTGATGTCCTTGTCTGGCTTGTTCAGGCACCAAGCATAGAAACAGACAGAACAACCAGGCATATTAAATAAGAAGAAAAAATTTGAAAACAAAAATAAGCATCCAAGTGAATCGACAACTCATAGGACAGGCTACAGTCAGCATTAAAGCCAACTCAGGAAAGGTGAGATGGTGGTTTGAATGAAAATACTTCCCCAGGCTCTTTGGGTGTGGCACTATTAGGAGGTGTGGCCTTTTTGGGGTAGGTGTCCTTAGAGAAACTGGAGATGGGCTTTGAGGTTTCAGAAATTCAGGCCAGGCCCAGGTTCTCTCCCTGCTGCTTGCCAATCCAGTATTATTCTCAGCTACCTGTTTAACACCATCTTACCCACTTGCCAGCATGCTTTACTTTTATAAGAGTTTGCTGTGGTCATGGTGTTGCTTCAAAGCAAAGGAGACTCAAAGACAGAAGTCCAAAAATTTGAATAAAAAGATTTTTTTAATCCTGTAAAATTAGGATGTGTAAAATGCTAATATATTGATCATAGTGGAAAATATGGATGTCCTCTTTGGCCTAACACTTCCAGGACGTATTTCTTACCTACATTGTGATGGAAGAATTAGAGTGACTTTCCTGGGTGGACATAATCTTTTCTGGGTCTTTGAGGGATGAAGGATCCTTTCATTAAACAGAGACACAACATAAGACAAAAGAAACATCCAAGAACAAATTCTATGAACTTCCCAATGTTGACACAAAACACAGGCCCCCTTGATCATAAACTTGACTCCTGCTGATTTTCTTGCTGAATTTGAAAGGACTTTTTTTCAAAATATTTTCTTACAATTTTATTATTTGGGGCTGCAGAGATGGCTCAGAGGTTAAGGGCACTGGGTGTTCTTCCAAAGGTCCTGAGTCCCAGCAACCACATGGTGGTGAGCTCACAACCATCTGTAATGAGATCTGGTGCCCTCTTCTGGCCTGCAGGCACACGTGCTGGCAGAATACTGTATGAATAATAAAATAAATAAATCTTTTTAAAAATTTAATTATCTAATTCTGGTCAAGAATGATGATAGATTCTCATGGAGTAGATTGGGAAATAGTCCCAACTCCTCCATTGTCTGAAATTGATTGTAGAAGCTATTATTTCTTCTTTAAATATTAACAAGATTGACAGACTAAGTTATGTGTCTTGAGTTTCTGAATGGAACTTTGGAAATTATTTTTATTGGCATATGCTGTATTCGTATCACACGAGCCATACTGTGTGTATATTGAACTGAGGACAACTTAGTGAAGTCAGTTCTCTCCTTCCACCTTTATCAGGTTCGTTCATTCCTTACAGTCTCTCACTGACCCTACATTTGTGGGGTTTGTTTTTGGTTTGTTTTGGTTTTGTTTGTTTGCTTTGGGCTTGTTGGTTTTTGTTTTTTGTTTGGTTTTTTTTTTGGTATTTCTTTACTTGAAGAATAAAGTTTAATAGTTATAGAACAGTTCAGGGTTTCTATTTCATAAAGGTTTTACTACCTGTAGTATTTTGAGAATTTCAACTATTTCATTTAAGTAAGAAGATAATTGGAGCATAACGTTATAATCCTCCTCTGTTGCCTTCATTCTGTCTGCAAGCCGTGTAATAATAACTCCTTTTCATTCCTGCTTCTAGGAATTTGTTTCCTCAATTTTATTCTTTGTGTGAGTGTGTGTGTGTGAGGATTTTTGTTTTATTTTTTCAGATAAAATACTAGTTATAATTATGAAAATAATACAAACATTAGTTCTTCTTTCATTGGTTTATTCAGGCCATGTTTGTTTAGTTAGTTTGTGATCTTTCCCATTGTTCTAAAACTCGCCTAGACATTGTCTTCTCTATCAGAATAAGGAAAAATCAGAATGAGTCTTCAAGTCATTCTTCAAACACTGAATTTTTCTGTGATCTTCATAGTTTATCTTCCTGAATTAGCCCAAGTTTACATAGCATATTTTTCATACAAAGCTCTTATTCACAAATATAAATACAAATAGGACTGTTTTAATAATTTTCTAAAAACTAGAAAATCTGTCATTCCTCATTTCTATTCTTAATTACACTTGCTAGGGTTTATCAGCCTTATTAATCTTCTGGGTAACAATATTTTCTTTGTTAATTTTTTTCACCTCTTTATTAGTTTTCATTATTACCCTTGTACTATGTATTTAATTTGTTTTTTTTACACAATTCTTAATGAATACACTGAGCTTAGATTTCCTTTGAAATGTGATGAAAGATACAAATCTCACTCAGGTGCAGCCTGGAAACCCCCAACCAAGTTTTATGTTATATATCTATTACTTGCAAATCAAAGCATTTTCTAATTTCCTTGCACTG